GAGAGATGGAGATACACCAAAGGCACTTCAAGACACTCCCTAATAAAGGCCTTGTACAAAAATGAAAAATCAAAAATTACAAGAAAGATGAAATTCAAATTTTCTTCAAATGAAATGCAAATTTACACTCCAAATGAAATGTAAATTCACAATCAAATGAAATTAGTGGCTGCACTAAGAGTTTTAGAAACCAAAATTCAGCCACTAATTTTAGTGACAATATTAGTGACGGATTTGGTATTGAAAATTTTTGAAGACAAATTTCCGTCACTAAATTTGTTACTAAATCCTTCCCAAAAATTTTCACAAACAATTTTGCTCCTTCTTGCTCTAATCCAGCCACCAAGCTGCAGCCTCACAAGGTGTTTCACTCCTATTTTTAGAATTTTTTCCCCACTCCCAACACGTGCCATGATCAATGCCTGTCTAGTTATATCCCAAATTTCAGTACCTTCTATTGCCAATCTTCTATCAAATATCATTTGCAAAATATCATAAATCTTCTTACAACTCTTGCATGTCTCCTACACATAACAATAAATTTAGAATTATTTGATGCATTTTGAAATGAAAATATACAAAGTTATTTAAATGAATGACATAATCTTACCCCTACAAAATGAGGGTGAATGTCTTCTTCTATAAAAGTCTGTTATAGTACTAAAAGACCAAAATATGTTAAAATAAACAAAAGAGACCAAAGTAAACTATCACTATTATATGGTAAATTCAACCCTTTCTCCCTTTTTGATGTGTGAATTTTTCCCCACTCCCAACACGTGCCATGATCAATGCCTGTCTAGTTATATCCCAAATTTCAGTACCTTCTATTGCCAATCTTCTATCAAATACCATTTGCAAAATATCATAAATCTTCTTACAACTCTTGCACGTCTCCTACACATAACAATAAATTTAGAATTATTTGATGCATTTTGAAATGAAAATATACAAAGTTATTTAAATGAATGACATAATCTTACCCCTACAAAATGAGGGCCATTAATACTTGGATAATGAGAAATTGTAGCAGGTTGCATTTGAGGCACCTTAGAAGTCTCTCTCTCCTGTGGTGGAATGATCAATGGGTGAGAAATCCGAGAGAACCATTGCATATATCCATCTTCACAATCTATTGAATGCTCTTGTTGATGGCCTATAGCAGCAACATCCACCACATAATTTGCATAGTGCAACCATATATCATCAATCTCCTCAAGAGAAATCACCACACTAGTAACATGTTGAGGTGATCTTGGGATGTGTTGAACATGTCCATATTGACGTAATACCCGCTCAGGCAAGTGTGCTTGCTTGTAGGTACCCCACTTAAGCCACCCTGAATATAGTGTTATATCTTCAAATGGTCGATAATCTCTATGATGACTATAAGGCATCCAACAAACTTCATTAATGATGATTGCATCCAGTTCCTTCCTATATGGAAGCACGTGGCCTATACTCTTGCTATGTGACCAACGACTAGCACGAGGATTTTGCTCCAAGTATTCCATGGACAACTGACGGGAACCAATCCGAGGAAAGTGCTCAAATAAATATAGATAAAATGAATTCGTGCTTAGTTGAGATAAACTTGTTTATCTACCTTGTCTTATTTCATACCCCCTGGAATCTATGTCTCTCAGCTTGTTATTAAAATTTGTTGATTAAAATAGAAATTCTCTTATTTTTTGTCTCTTACAATTTGAGAAGGTCTGTAATCTATTAGCGATTTTTTAATAAAAAAAATGAATAAATGCTAATTATATGATTTTCCACCTGTATTCCAATTCTCACACATTTCTAACTAGGATGACGATAACAGTCATTCATGCAATCTTGTGTGGCATAGCCAGATACTCACCATCTCAAATGCATTTGATGCATGAAGCTACAACCAACACAGACATGCTAATCATTCATTAGCAACAAATTTTATATGAACATGTTAATAACGTAATATTTATTGGCAGATATTTAACTATATACTTCCAACAATAGACTGATAAGTAAATTTTCGCAGGTTTATAGGGAAACTCTTCCCTGTGGGAAAGTGGTAGCCATAAAACGAGCTCAAAAAGAATCAAAGCAGGGAGGGCCAGAATTCAAAGCTGAGATTGAACTTCTTTCAAGGGTCCACCACAAGAATCTGGTTAGCCTTGTGGGATTCTTCTTTGAACGAGAAGAACAAATGCTAGTTTATGAGTTTGTCCAAAATGGAGCTTTGAAGGATGCTCTCACGGGTATTTGTATATCTCCAGCCTGGTACTTAAAGCAAATATTACTATTTGTATTAAATTTTTAACTAATTAAATTGGATTATTACCTTTACATGCACCTTTTGGCCAGTACTCACCATTCAGTTTCCTCAGTGTTACCACATTGACAAAGCACTACATAATATCTGTTGTATCTGATGGAGCCATTATTTAAAAGGATAGATGAAGACACGAATAAGACAGATTCTTACTAAATTTGTCATACTTTAACAGTAAAATGGGAGAGTTTCTTACTCAAGGTTAGCACACATAATAGAGCAAGATAATAGAGAAAATAACCTAGCATGATCCTTTAATGCTCTGTTCATCTGCTATTGGACAGTACACTTCACTTTATCAATTGTCATCTAGGAACGGTGATAAAGCTAATGAGAATATCCTTTTACACAAGATTAAACAGCAGAACTATGTAATTGGTCTAAATAAATTTCATGTCTTTAGCAAAAGAAAATATATTAAAAAGAGAGAGAGATATAACCATAAAAAACAAGGAAATAATGTAGGAGAGAAAAGATAAATACAGACAATATGACTAATATGATTTGTTTCACTAATATGAATTGTTTCTTTGTTAGCATTATCTAAAGTAGATATCTCAAAAAGAAAAAAAGTCTCTTACAGTACTAAAAGACCAAAATATGTTAACATAAAGAAAAGAGACCAAAGTAAACTATCACCATTATATGGTAAATTCAACACTTTCTCCCCTTTTGATGTGTGAATTTTTCCCCACTCCCAACACGTGCCATGATCAATGCCTGTCTAGTTATATCCCAAATTTCAGTACCTTCTATTGCCAATCTTCTATCAAATATCATTTGCAAAATATCATAAATCTTCTTACAACTTTTGCACGTCTCCTACACATAACAATAAATTTAGAATTATCTGATGCATATCTAAAACATGAAGCTATCATCAACATTACATATAATGCCCCAAATCATCCATAGATCATATTCCTAATTTTACCTCACAGGGTTTCCCAAAAGGACCCACATAGTACTCTAATTCATATCAAAACTTATCTGTTTTCAAAATTAATCACATATTTATACATCTTAATCAACAAGGAACACAACAGAAGAATCAGAAATCAAAATAGAAAACGTTCATATTTTTCTTGTTTCTCATAGGGTTCTCTCAAGAACCCACAGAGCACTCTAATTCATATTAAAATATATTCATTTTCAAAATTAATCACATACTCATACATCACATCCAACAAGGAACACAATAGAACAATAAGGCAAAACAGAAAACATTCATATTTTGCCCGTTTTCTCATAGGATTTCCCGTAGGAACCCACAAAGCACTCTAATTCATATAAAAACATATTCATTTTCAAAATTAACCACATACTCATGCATCACATCCAACAAGGAACACAACAAAGCAATTAGAAAGCAAAACATAAATATTCATACTTTGCATGTTCTTAGAAGCATGCATCAAGCAAGGGATTGAGGGCTAATCCGAATACCTAACAATTATTCCCACATCCCGAGCGACGTTTCTCACTCCTCCCTTACCTGGATGAGCAGAAGACGAATGGTCTTGGTGTGATCTAAGATCGTTCCTGAGTACTCTTCCTTAGAGCTCTTTGTTTCTCCTCTTTTTTTCCCCTAACCTTTCAGAACGCAAATGAGGCAGATCGGGTTAACGCTACCTGACTGAGCAACATCCACCACATAATTTGCATAGTGCAACCATCTATCATCAATCTCCTCAAGAGAAATCACCATACTAGTAACATGTTGAGGTGATCTTGGGATGTGTTGAACATGTCCATATTGACGTAATACCCGCTCAGGCAAGTGTGCTTGCTTGTAGGTACCCCACCTAAGCCACCCTGAATATAGTGTTATATCTTTAAATGGTCGATAATATCTATGATGACTATAAGGCATCCAACAAACTTCATTAATGATGATTGCATCCAGTTCCTTCCTATATGGAAGCACGTGGCCTATACTCTTGCTATGTGACCAACGACTAGCACGAGGATTTTGCTCCAAGTATTCCATGGACAACTGACGGGAACCAATCCGAGGAAAGTGCTCAAATATCCATGCCTTTTTCAAAATTAATAACCCAAATTAAATTAAATAAAGTCAAAAGCAATACAAAATTTTTACATTAAGCATAAAATAGTATGAAAAGTTTTCACCTGTAAAAGGGTCATGTAGCCACCTATTTGCTTAGTGCTATGGACACAAGCATCACCCAAGTACTCATACAAGAATGTCAAGGTAGCTGCACCCCATGCATAATCACTACAAGCTGAAAGGTCACGAAATAGGTCCAATAATGCTACATCCACATATGTTGTGCTCTTGTTAGCAAAAATCATGCAACCAACCAAGAATAGAAGAAAAGCCCTTGTAGCAAATTCCCAACGCTTCTCTTGGCACCTCGCATCATAAACATCTCTCAACCAACTCATGCGAACATGTGCACCTCTTGTAGCCCTTATCTCAAGGATTGCATCCTTGTGTGAGACTCCTAACAAATCCTCTAAGTATACACATGCAATGTCATGGTCCATGACCGGTTGACTAAAAAGTGCACCTCTAATTGGTAGGTGCAATAAGCATGACACATCATCAAGAGTGATGGTCATCTCTCCTATTGGCAAGTGGAATGAGCTTGTCTCTGGATGCCATCGCTCAACAAATGCAAACACAAGACCTTTATTCACCATCTGGTAGTTGCAAAGTAGAAGTGATGCCAAGCCAGACTTATCTACCAATTTTTGTATTTGGTGGTGCTTGATGACAAAACTTTTTACTTTTCTTCCATGATTGAAAATCTTAAGCTCACCACGATCCTAATGTTTTATGATCTTGTCATTATAAAAGTTTATTAAACATCAAATTTAAAAAATCCAACAACATTAATTACCTCGTCACTCCATAAGCGGGTTGCAACATGGTCTGAAAAATTCCTAAGGACCGACAAATCCTCAGGGCCTCCTAGAAATGACCTCGGTGCTTGAGGGTTCACAACACCATCTAACATGACCTCTTGAGGCTCCTCGTGATCATCGACTATAGGTACTTGAGCATTCACATGTTGCTTATCTTTTGTTAGTCGTTGACGCTTTCGTGCAACGCTACCACCTCTTGTCCGTGCCATAACTTCACATAACGATAGATGATCGGTCAATTTCAAAATACAAAGACAATTGATCAATCAATTTCAAACACACAAACCCTATAAAGAATCCTAAAAAGAAATGTAAAGATGAGATACAATGTTAATAAAATAGAGAAACAATGAGCGATAATAAATTACAGACAATAAGAACAAAAGAATATTAATAATAATAATAATCTTTTTGAAAACTGGGGTGTTACATACTTAGTAGTTGGCTAAGGGTGACTACACAATAGCAGGTGGCTAGTTTGTGTAGGGGAAATCCAACAAGTGTTGGTGGTTGTATCTAAAGTAGCTACTCTTGATTATAGTAGAGAAATCACATAGTGTGTGTGGAGACTGAATGTAACCCAAGGTTGGGTGAAATGAGATAAATGATGGTGTAAAATCTCTCGCACCCTTACTCTCATATTTGTTTAAATTAATTTAAATTACTCAAATTTATTGGTAGATGATTGTGACATATCATACAAAGAAATTATTTTTAAATACATGAGAAGCACAAACTTTTGAGAAGCTATTTTATAACGAAATTGCTTAGAAGCATAATCTTTTGAACATCATTTTGATAAAAGAAATATAAATTTTAAGATAACCATAATTCAACCCCCATTCTTGTTGGCTAACATTTACTTCAATTGACATTAGAGCTTGGCTCTTAGAGCTAAGACACTTAGTAATGTAGGAGAAGAAGATACTAAGAAAAGTAAATGGTTGTACAACACCTAATAATGTTCATCCCAAAAGGAGCTTCAACAAAAAAACATCTAGGATTTGATGGAAAAGACTACAACTACGGGAGAAATAGGATAAAATTATTCCTGGATTCACAAGATGTAGATCTACTAGAAATAGTGGAAGAAGGGTTATATTTACCAAAGAAAACTCTGGAAATTAGTGTCATCATTCCTAAACCAAAACAAGAATGGAATGTTGAAGAAAAGTCCAACTATTTGTTAAATGCCTACGAAATTTTTTATCTTACATGTACACTAAGTAGATTTGAGTATGACAAAGTGAGAGAATGCACCACAACTAAGAAAATATGGGAAAAACTCAGAGTAGCTAATGAAGGAATAAATCAGGTAAAAGATTCCAAAGTAATATAT